TATTTGTAAAATAAAATTAACGCACTTTTTTACGAAACAAACAACGTTTAAATAAAATGGAAATGGCCAGCAGCGCAGCTAATAGTGCTCTAAGCAGCGCCACTTCGCGTAGTGGAAATGCGTTGCCCTCGCTTTTTGGGGACCATAGCGTCAGTGGCGGTGTCGGTTCAACAACTGCTGGCAAAGATCTTGATGGTCTAATGGCCATGAATGACAGTGCTCTGTCGCAACAAATCGAATTTATATTGCAGGATGCTCCTATGGAGCAAGACGATGAAGTTGTAAATGGAATGGTGACGGAAAATAGTATTGTCACTAGCAATAAAATAAAATTAAAAAACCCACCGAACAATATCATAACAAGCGCTTCCGATTATAATCACTCAGCGGAGGGAACAACAATTGTCGCCAATACGCAATCTGCTCAACAGCTAAACCAGTTGCATGAGCGTCGCATAATTATACAATCAAGAGCTGTTGCCGCTATTAAAGAGGAAGATGATATGGAGGATCCAGAATTGAATGATGAAAATTTACAAGATATAGCAGAGGAAGCGCAGGCCGCAGACGAAGATGAAGATCCACCACATTTGCACACACACGTAAAATTAGAGCGACAGGATCCGAATGAAATGAGTTCAGATAATAATATGGAATATATCACAACACCAACAATTACTACACACCATTCAGCACTTGTGTCGCAGGCACCACAACTGGTATTGCCAGCTGGTTCAATAGTAAGTACTTCCGGCAGAGCTTTATCAGTTCCAGTATCTGAAGCATTGGTACAACTACAACGACGTCCTGTTTACATAAGCAACTCTTTGGGCGGTGTGACGGGTGCTACATTCGTGCGTATGCCTGCTGTTATAAGTAGAAATCCAATGACAGTGCTTAATGTAGTGCAGCAAGGTGTGCCTGTGGGTGGACCTACAACACAACTCATTCTGCAAGCAGCTCCAGTTTCAAATTCAACAGCAACTTCAGTCGTTGTGAACTCTAGTAATTCTGCCATTGTAGCCGCAAGTTCAACAAATACTTCCTTGCCCATAACTGACACAGTTGTTGCTGCACCATCCACAGCAATTGTTTCAGCATCTTCCACAACCGCTCCATTGCCATCAAGTTCAACAACAATCAATAATGCACCTGTTAGCGCATCACCATTATCAACTTCTAATGTTGTCGTCCAAGCAAGCTCAACACCGACTACCGCTGCAGCATCCACCACTACCACAACTTATCAATGCTTAGAGTGCGTTGAAAAGTTCGATTCTAAAGAACTATTCGATATCCATCGTTCCGGTCATGCCAATAACATGAAATGCGCTATTTGCAATATGGTTTTGAAGTCTCTCAAGAACTATGAGAAACACTGTCTGCGTTGCAAGCCTTACGAGTGCCAGATATGTGGGCGTGTTGTACGTTTCAGACCAAATTTTATTAAACACATGCGAGTTCACACCGGTCAGCAATCGGAACGACACAAATATAAATGCGATGTCTGCCACAAAGAGTTTATGAGCTTCGAGTACTTTAAGGTGCACAAAAAAATTCACAACGAAAACGTTAATCTAACATGTGAAATATGTGGGAAAGTATTTAGCGCTCTAGCATCTTTACGCGGTCATTCAAAACTACATTCTGGCGTTAAACTACATAAGTAAGTCACTTTAATTACATATACATATATATTCTAATACATTCTAATATTTATTTTCTCTCTTAGATGTGATGTTTGTGGTAAAGGCTTTGGTCAACGTTACAATTTAAAAATTCATGCTCGCACACATACTGGTGATTTTCCTTTCGAATGCAAAATCTGTAATAAAAAGTTGCACACGCAATCCTCGCTTCAAACACATATGCAGGTGCATCAACGTGATCAAACCTCTCAAGTAACCACAACTATTAAATATGAGCAATCCTCGTCCACTACAACAAGTAGTGGCACTTCAAACACAAAAACTTCTACTACACCGGCTATAGTGAAGTTGGAACCACAATCAAGTCTTGATGGTCCCAGCACTAGCGGGTTGCAACATCAGCATCACGATGATATGGATGATAATTCAGGCATGAGTGATGGCATGCATGGTACACACATTGTAACTACTACATCCACTATTAAGAATTCACATTTAACTACTGGTGATGATTCTTCGAATGAATCAAACGCATCTCATGAATTGCAACGCCACCAACACCAACAGCACCAGCAACAATTGCTTTTATCCACACCCACACGTACTATTGTTTTCAAAAATTATATGCAAAATGATCCAAATATAAGTGGCATCACTCAGCAACAAACTCAAGTTATACAGGGTGTTGGTTCGAGTAGTACTTTACAGCAACAATTACTGCGTAAAACACCAATTATACATTCAACTGGTGGAGCCACAACGCTTTCTTCCGCACTAGCCAGTGTAGTGCAACAAACAGGTAAAGTATTTCCTTTGAATTCCTATTGAACAGATAGCATTTTAGTGGAAATAAAAAAAATAATTTACTTAATATATTTGTATTAGGCTACTGTCGTCTTTTTCTTTGAATGTAAATAAAAAAAATATTTTTTATTTTATTATTTAACATTATAAAATTTGGCAAAAAAATTAAAATTAAAAATTGGTGCAAATACCTTTTTGTTGGGTAAATATCAGTCCAAACGCTGGAGTTAGGCGCGGGTTTTTCAAAAAAATTTTCATTTGGTTTATTAAATAAATCAAATCACATGGAAAATTTTCTATCTTATTGATTAAGTTATTCATGCTCTTTGTGGTATCAAAACTGACCATTATTTGAGCTCAAGTAGGCTTTGGATATAGGACTGCCACTTCAACCTAACCGAATCTATTCATACTCACTCCATTAAAACCCAAACTCCAATATTAATTTGTATTGCATTATATTTATTTTACCTGCTTGTGAGGAGCATGAAGAAACTGTAATATCTGCTTTGTCTATGTCAAACATACGTATACCGTTAATTAATTTATATCTAAAATCAAACTTCCTTAATAATGTGGTTGAAGTACATAGGCTTCTTCTGTGTAAATTTTTAAGCTGGACTACAGATTTAAAGAGATGTCTTGCATGCTAAAGATACTCGTGTTTGGATTGTTGAATAAATGTAAATGAATCCAAACTTTTTTGAGTTAAAGACATGATCTAATTAGTTTATAACACACATCTTAAATTTAACATATTTCAAAGGAAAAAAGTATTTCTTTGCTTTGTCTATGTCAAGCATGCGTCAACCGTTGATTTATTTATGTAGGATAAAACCTTTCTTAAAAGTTTATGTGAATATTTTTTATATTCTTTATGTCGAGTGGGAAAACTTCCCATATTTTTTGGTAGAGCGTTTAACATCTTCACCTAACTTTCGTTTAACCAAATAAAGTGTGGAGTCTTGGTCCAAAAAATATTGTAAACAATAGCTCTATTTATTACTTAATTTTTATTATTTATATTCCATATTACTATCAAGATACCAATGCTTCTACTTATATTTCCCGTCAATGCCCCATTGATCTTAACTTAGTATATCCGTTTTGGTCTTCTATTCCTAGCATTTTAAGGACTCTATATTAGTACTGAATGTGTTGTGCTTTCATATGATGTGCGAACACGTTTTAATTTCTAGAAAATAAATCTCATGTGTAACACATCTATTTGGTTCTATATCTATTATTATTAATTTTTATAATTAAGTAATATAATATAAATATAAAATATAGTTTTTTTTTTTTTATGTCAGATAAAAAATCTGACAATCGAATATTTTTTATTTATATTTATTTATTATTTTTTATATATATTTATTTTTTATTTATATTTATTTATTATTTTTTATATATATTCATATATTATTATATATACATATTTATTTATTAATATTTATATATATTTATTTATTATTTTTTATTTATATTTATTTATTATTTTTTTATTATAATATATTTATTATTTTTAATTTATATTTATTTATTATTTTGTATTTATATTTACTTATTATTTTTTATTAAAATTTATTTATTATTTTTAATTTATATTTATTTATTATTTTCTATTTATATTCACTTATTATTTTATATAAACATTTATTTATTATTGTTTATTTATATTTATTTCTTATTTTCTATTTATATTCATTTATTATTTTATATACATATTTATTTATTATTGTTTATTTATATGTATTTATTATTTTTTATATATATTTATTTATTATTATTTTATTATTTTTTATTTATATGTATTTATAATTTTTTATATACATTTATTTATTATTTTCTATTAGTATTTATTTATATTTATATATAATTTTATATTTACATTTATTTATATTTTCTATATGTATTTATTTATTATTTATAATAAATTTATTATTTTGTCTTCATTTGAAATTATATTCTCTTTAAACTTAATACGTTTTTTAACGTATCTAAATCTTTCGTATGTGTTGTTGGTGTAACTCATATGGGAATCCTATAAACAAGAATAGAATTGGATTATAAGATAGGTATTTTTTGTGAAATGAGAAGGAAGAAAGAATTGGACTTAAATACCTACCTTTCATATAGAATGCTTTGTTGTTATTAGCCTTTTTCGGTTAGCAATTTATTCGAAATATTTACATTAAGTTAAGTATTCCCTTGTGACTTTCAAGTAGTTGGTAATCGTTGTTTTGCCAGATCTAAAGAATATACCGTGTGTGGGAGTAATTCGAAGTTCACTTTACATAATTTGGTTAACAATAACATCTACTAAATTAATTCGCTTCATTTGTTTGTTGTTTATTTATAAATAAATAATAAATTTGAATAACGCATATTAAGTGCACATTGGCTTTGTGTGTTAACAATAGCCGTGTTAAAGTCCATGGTTCAAATTTGACAGGGTTCAGTTTCTTAAAAACAAAAACGACTTAACTTTAAATAGTTTCGGCGTAAAGACTCAAAAATAAAGAATAAAATACCTAGTTATAAACTATTCGCTTAAAAAAACATTACAATTTATTTACAAAAAACATATAAAATATTAAATAAATATTATATTTAATTTAGGTATATCGCCATCACCATCACCATCGTCCTCTTCAACTTCGTGTTCCTCATCTGTTGTGGTCTCTAAGACATTAGCTCTTGGTTCTGTTGGCATTGGTACCTCAACTATACGTAGCACACATAATCATAACTCGAATTCAATCAGCAACAATCATCGTGCATTGCAACGCAATAACCACCGAAACCACCACCGACATCGCCATCCAGCTGATTTGGATGATGATGAAAATGACCACGATCCCAATTTACATCGTGCTACAAATGGCCGACATTTTGATGATGATGACGATGATGAGAAATCTTCCCCGTCCCTGGCTACAACTGCCATTATTAAAACTGAACCAAACTTTTACTCTTCCGGTTCGGGTGATAATTCAAATGATTTACTTATTAAAAAGGAAATAATGTTTGAAGATTCAGCCGCGCCGCAATCTCCACATTCACCACCGAGTTCAAAATATCGCATATCAAACTTTGATAGTGATCTTGTAGACCACCATGTCGATTTAACTCATGTGCTGCCACCTTACGGAAATCTTTTCGAACCGCATTCCATACCTGACAGCATACCAACACAATTATATCCAGATGACGATGATGATTTTCGTTTAGATCATAGCTCATTAGGTGCTCTACATAATACATCATCCTCTACGAATGATGGTGATTTTATTAAAAAAGAATGGGCATACGGAGCTGGTTCCAGTTACACTATGAATGGTAAATTTGATGATGATAGTGATGCACTTTGTGATGCTGCAAGTTTTATTTATAATTAAATTCATAATTAAATAATTTGGACATAAAATGAAAGCGGACAACTTACCACTCTATGTTAACTGATGGATTGAATTCAAAGAGTAAGTTAAGTATGAAATTGATGGGTGATGAGATTAGCAAACATACATATTATATTATTGGATAGATTTTAATTTAATTGTTTGACAAATTATAATTATATTTAACGATTTAAATTTGCAAGTGAATTTAAAAACTTGTGTTACAAATGCCAATATTAGCAAGTATTTCTTAATTGTTAATTAAAAAAAAAAACATAAAAATATTTAAAATAATTATAATAATACGAATAACAGTAAAACTACGTACATTTAAAAACAAGAAAAGATTTTTTAAACTTACTCAAGTGAGATTAGTAAATTTTATAATTTCACAATTTTCTCAAATATGGTACATTATTAAACAATTTTTATTTATCTTCCAAAGTCTATAAGAAAAAAATTTTTCCTTAATATAATTATTTTATTATTTTATAAAAATAAGTTTTTCTCCATTCGAATATTTTTCCTTCTAAACTGAAGCGTGTCTACAACACATTTCGATTATGCACAAATGAATTTATCTATTTATCTATATTAGGAAAAATTTTTTAAATCTTCAAAAAAAAAAAAACAAAAAAAATATTACTTAAAAGCAGTGAGCAGTTATAATTTAAATATTATTTTTATTATATTTATTTATTTTTTTTTTGACATTTTTATTTATTTTGTACTCAAATGTATATGTTTGTGTGTTGTAAACTACTTGTATTTTCTCTCATATACGTAACTATAATATTTGAATATCATTTT